ACACACACACACACACACACACACACACACACACACACACACACACACACACACACACACACACACATTTTGACATGGCGATGCTTGCGTGTGTTTGCTCGCGTGCGGCAATCAAGGCGGCGATGGCTTTCGGCTCCACGCCGACCATCAACTGGCAGGACAAGCTGTTACTTTGCTATTCATACGCACTCGCTCGCAGCCGCGCCGCGCGTAGTGTATCTACATCGAGTTAAGGGGAGGGTTTGGGAGAATGATAGGTGTTGGGAGGGCGGGAGGAGGGGGTTGGGGTTAGTCTATGGGGCCGATTTTGTATCGAATAATAATCCCAACGTTCGCTTAAGTTTATTCTGCATAAAGCATCCCGTTTAACCGATGTAATATCCCGTTTATCCGATGTAATATCCCGTTTATCCGATTATAATAACGTTAGTGATGATCATTTTCCAATGACATACGTCGTTTAAGCGATGTGCCCATTGATTCGAGGCCCGATAAACTGAGGACTCATGAATTTACGGCTATGCATAAAGGTGGTGATCTACTATGTCGTCATGATATGTTATGATTAGGTTAGCACGTGGCTCTTACCTACACTTACACGTACTTACCGGCTCTTTTCGGTTCTTAAATGTACGTCAGCTATTCAATTTCAAATGGTCAAAAACATGCGCGTGCATGCGAAACCATATCGTAATTCACTACAGCAAGAGGAGGTGTGAATTTAAATGCCACACGCAGAACAAACTGAGGAGGATTTTATTAATTTACGAGAAACATTTAATCTAGGTTTTAATTTTAATTTATTTCCATGCGTGGTAAACTTCGAGTGTCCATCATCATGGCTTGCTCGGCGCCGCAACATCGAACCACGCGCACTGCATAGTGCATCATGCTACTACTGCATAGTGCATCATGCTACTACTGCATAGTGCATCATGCTACTACTGCATAGTGCATGCATACAACATCGAACTTCGCGCACTGCATAGTGCATCATGTTACTCTGCTGCACTGCATAGTGCATCATGTTACTCTGCTGCACTGCATAGTGCATCATGTTACTCTGCTGCACTGCATAGTGCATCATGCTACTCTGCTGCACTGCATAGTGCATCATGCTACTCTGCTGCACTACATAGTGCATCATGCTACTCTGACGACGTTGATGTAGAAGCCAGCATGTGACCGTGTCCGGGTGTGCGTGTCAACAGACGTTCTAAGTGATGCTAGCGTCCGTGGTAAGCTGATTACGCTCGCGTTTC